GAATCCTCCACCTTCCAAGCAATTCTCGAAAGAGAGGGGGTCACCCCGATCCACAAAGGAGGTGACCAAGCTGACTCGAATAACTATAAACCAATATCTAACTTACCACTGCTCTCTAAAATCTTTGAAAAATTAATTCATAGACGGATCTATTCCTACCTCGTCTCACACAACATACTAAACCCCTGTCAGTTTGGATTCAGGAATAAAAGCACAAATGCTATCATACACATGCTAGAAATGATATATACCACTCTCGAGAAGACAGAAGTCCCGCTGGGAGTTTTCATTGATTTACATAGAGCTTTTGATACAGTCGACCATGAATTGCTGCACACAAAATTAACACTATGGTATAAGAGGCCCCTCCCTCAACTACTTAAAGTCATACCTTAGTAACAGAAGCCAATATGTGTACACAAATGGTGCAAACTCTTCCACTCAACCAATCACAGTAGGGGTCCCACAGGGAAGTGTCCATGGACTACTCCTCTCTCTCATCAACATCAATGACCTACCGAATGCATCACAGCTACTCAAACCCATATTTGCAGATGACGCAACATACATCTTCTCCCACCCAAACCTAGTCATACTCGCCAACACTGTCAATGCCGAACCACAGAAAATATCTGCCTGGATGATGACAAACTTACCCTGAATGCTGACAAAACCTATTTCATTCAGTTTGGAAACAGAGCTGCAAATATCCCACTTAACGTAATGCTAAATGGATCACCCATCACAAGACTCGCAGAGGGAAAATTCCTAGGAATCCACCTTGACAGTAGCCTCAAATTCCAGACACACATACAACAAATTTCCAAGAAAATCTCTAAGACAGTAGGCATACTATCAAAGATACAGTACTATGTTCCACAATCAGCTCTCCTTGCACTGGATCATTCACTCATCTACCCTTATCTCACATATGGAATTTGTGCATGGGGATCAACAACACTGAATCACTTAAGACCACTAATAACACAACAAAAGGCTGCAGTCAGAATGATAACAAATTCCCACTCCTGACAGCATACCCCACCAATTCAAAAGTCTAAATTTTCTACCATAAAGAACATCCATACTTATTCATGTGCCTACTACATACATAGAACAACACGCAAACATTAACCCTCCGCTCAAACTTCTCCTCACCAACCTTAACAGGACACACGACTATAACATAAGACACAGATCTTTTTTGATGTACCCTGTGTCCATATCACACTGTAAAAACTATGCACATAAAGGGCCCCAAAATTTGGAATTCATTACCAGAAAATACTAAATAAACCTGGTCTGAAAATCAATTTAAGACTTCTCAAAAGCCACTTAATCACCCTAGACTAAATACTCAATATTTAACTTTACCAATAAATCTCCCAATCACCTAAATCTTAACCCTTTGTCTGTTTTGGCTGTATGTATACGTCTTACGCTTGCTGGAAGTCCAAGCCCCTCGCCAAGGAAACCTCCTTTACCCCCTCCCTCCAACCTTTTCGAGGATGACCCCTACCCTGCCTTCCTTCCCCTACAGATTTATACACTCTCCACGTCATTCTACTTTTAGAGAGAATGGATCAAAGTAGAATGACATGGAGAGCGTATAAATCTGTAGGGGAAGGAAGGTGGGGTAGGGTTCGTCCTTGAAAAGGTTGGAGGGAGGGGGTCAAGGAGTTTTTCTGGGCGAGGAGTTTGGATTTCCAGCAAGCGTGCATGAGCGTGTGAGATAGGAGTGAAAGGAGACGAATGGTATTTGGGACCTGATGAGTTGTTGGAGTGTGAGCAGGGTAATATTTAGTGAAGGGATTCAGGGAAACCGGTTATTTTTATATAGCCGGACTTGAGTCCTGGAAATGGGAAGTACAATGCCTGCACTTTAAAGGAGGGGTTTGGGATATTTTTGGAGGGATATGTTGTGTATCTTTATACGTATATGCTTCTAAACTGTTGTATTCTGAGCACCTCTGCAAAAACAGTGATTGTGTGAGTGAGGTGAAAGTGTTGAATGACGAAAGTACAGTGGACCCCCGCATAGCGACTTTAATCCGTGCAAGAGGGCTGATTGTTATGCGAAATGTTCGGTATGCGAATGAATTTTCCCCATAAGAAATAATGGAAATCAAATTAATCAGTGCAAGACACCCAAAAGTATGAAAAAAAATTTTTTACCACATGAAATATACATTTTCCTACACACAGAGAGAAGGATACATGCACAATAGTAGAGTAGTACATGCACAATATATATTGTGCATGTACTACTCTACTAAATGAAGAATAAATGACACTTACCTTTATTGAAGATGCAGCAATGACTGATGAGACACTGTGTCCTGGGAGTGCCTTTTCCTCCTGAGTACTGTAGGTCCTGTTTGGCATTTTCTTCCAGAACAGACCTTATCACACTGTGTATGCCACTACGATTCTTAAATCTCTCAAACCAACCTTTGCTGGCTTTAAATTCACCAATATGAGCACTAGTTCCAGGCATTTTTCCCTGTTCACCTGGGTGTTAGTCGACTGGTGTGGGTTGCATCCTGGGAGACAAGATTAAGGACCCCAATGGAAATAAGTTAGACAGTCTTCGATGACACTGACTTTTTGGGTTATCCTGGGTGGCAAATCCTCTGGGGTTAATTGTTTCTTGGTATTCTCAATAAGCCACACCAACAACGGTGCTACAGCAGCAGCAGCAGCTGAGGGGTGCACGCGGTACAGCAGCAACAGACGATGCTACAGCAGCAACAGACGATGCTACAGCAGCAACAGACGATGCTACAGCAGCAACAGACGATGCTACAGCAGCAGCAGACGATGCTACAGCAGCAGCAGACGATGCTACAGCAGCAGCAGCTACAGCGGAGGTTACACAGACGATGCTAGCAGCAGCAGACAGTAGCAGCAGCAGCTGACGGTTGCAGCAGCAGCTGACAGTGCAGCAGCAGCTGACGTTACACACACATAGTAGCGATGGTTGATTGGGGTTTATTATACAACCTGGCCAGCTCGGAGACACGCACTCCACTTTCATACTTATCAATGATCTTTTTCTTCATCTCTATAGTAATTCTCACCCTTATTGCTGTAGGGTTGGCACTAGAAGCTTTCTTGGGGCCCATGGTCACTTATTTTCCAGAAAAAATCACCAAAAACACTGTAATAATACGAAATGTTCCGATTGTATGCTTGGATGTTACCGCGGAGGCTGGCTGGTAAACAATGCCACCGGCGGAACATGTGAGCGTGGCTCAGGCCGCACATTGGACGCGTCTTGGACGAAGAGCGGTGAGCGGGTTTTTGGGCGGTATGCTAGGCAAAATTTTTGCGAAAAAAGCGAGCGGTATGCGGATTGTACGGTATGCGGGGGTCCACTGTATTTTCTTTATGGGTTACCCTGCTTCGGTGGGAGACGGCTGACTTGTTAAAAAAAAAAAAAAAAAAAATTCTAGTGGCTTCAAATCAAGCAGGAGAAAGCTGCTAGGCCCACATGTGAGAGAATGGGTCTGTGTGCACTGTATAAAAAAAATCCTGCAGCACACAGTGAGAAAAATACAATCCAACTGTTTTTGGATCAAAATGCCGAATTTGAGGTGTAGTTTCGTATAGTATTTATGGTTGTATTCTTGTTTTCATGGTCTCACTTGATAGAATGGAAGACGTATTACAGAAATAGTGGTGATTTTGATAAGTTTCATGATGAAAACAGCATTGAAATTGAGCTCAAAGTAGTGGAAATGTTTGATTTTTACCGTGTTCAAGAGTAAGCAAATCACACCACATGTCCAATGCACGTCAACTGTGGAGTCTAATATTTTCACTAGTGCACTGATATTATTTATACCATTTTTACAGTAATGTAGTAGTCTGCAATACAGTAAATCTTCTATTTTTTGTGTGAATAAGAAATAAAAATAGAAAGCAAAAGTAATATAAGAGGGGCCTGGAGACGTGACTAATGAACAGAGGATATATTATTTTAGTGCCAAGAATGTCTGCACTGTTTATTCTGGACCCTATTTTGAAAATGGCATTTTTAAAACTTCAAGACTAGACAACAAAGTTCATACATTAACTAATACTACATAGTAGTGTAATTTTTTTTTTTCAACAAGTCGGCCGTCTCCCACCGAGGCAGGGTGACCCAAAAAGAAAGAAAATCCCAAAAAAGAAAATACTTTCATCGTCATTCAACACTTTCACCTCACTCACACATAATCACTGTTTTTGCAGAAGTGCTCAGAACACAACAGTTTAGAAGCATATACGTATAAAGATACACAATATATCCCTCCAAACTGCTAATATCCTGAATCCCTCCTTTAGAGTGCAGGCATTGTACTTCCCATTTCCAGGACTCAAGTCCGGCTATATAAAAATAACCGGTTTCCCTGAATCCCCTCACTAAATATTACCCTGCTCACACTCCAACAGATCGTCAGGTCCCAAATACCATTCGTCTTCATTCACTCCTATCGAGCACGCTCATGCATGCCTGCTGGAAGTAGTGTAAATACCTACCCAAAACAGTATTGCCCTACACCAAATTGTAGCATTCTCATACTGTAAACTACTTTTAGCAAATCACAATGTTATATTCCCATAATATAATTTCAATAATTACTTTTGAACCTATTGTCCACTGTTGACAGGAATATAACTGTATCATGTTTCATAAAAAGCATTTTTGAAAAATATGAATATATCCTTTGGTTTATATAAATAAATTAGATTCATTTATAATAAATAGAACTATTGTACATATATGATAAATTTCTCTAGTGTTAAGTAGTCAGTAAGCCATTAAATTAAGTCAGCCCATAATGCCTAGGCATAATAGAGGCTCTTTAAACTGCAACCCATTGTTGTAAATACATAATCTCAATGTACTATGTACTTGCAAAGAAATTAATAAATTTGAAAATATGCAAAATATAACCTAGTTGCTCAGACAAAAAAAGTGCAGAGTAGCACAAGTAAGCAACAGAAAAACAGACACTGGATGAGAATGTTCACCTGTGCATAGGTCCATCCTGCATGTTGCTGATTTTGTAATCTCCATAATGTTGTATTTTTCTCAGTGGACTGCAACACAACCTGTGATGGAGAGATACTGGATAGCAAATTATTTCCATGTCTTTTAATGAAATTATTTCCATGCTTAACAATCTTATAACCAATATAGTTATGGAATGAGTCTCAGGGCTTAACTTTTTTGAGTTTTCCCACGTTAATTTACACACGTAATTATGCAAAACTAGGTGGTAGGTTGGTAGAAAGCAACCACCTAAGGAGGTACTACCATCCTGCCAAACGAGTGTAAAACGGAAGCCTGTAATTGTTTTACATGATGGTAGGGTTGCTGGTGTCCTTTTTCTGTCTCAAACATGTAAAATTTCAGGTACGTCTTGCTACTTCTGCTTACACTTAAGTCACACTACACGTGTCACAAACATACATATATATACACACACACACACCCCTCCGGGTTTTCTTCTTTTTTCTTACTAGTTCTTGTTTATTCCCTCTTGTCTCCATGTGGAAGTGGAACAGAATTCTTCCTCCGTAAGCCATGCATGTATAAGAGGCGACTAAAATGCCAGGAGCAAGGAGCATTACTAAAGTTAAAGAGAAACTTTTGTTTTTCTTTTTGGGCCACCCTGCTTCGGTGGGATACAGCCGGTTTGTTGAAAGAATTATGCAAAACAGTAGTGAAAATCTAAATTTATGTTAAAAGCCAGAATGAAAACTGATTCACTGTCAATGTTTAAATACTTCAGCATCTTTTTCAAATAATTTTTAGAAAGTGAGAAATAAAAATTTAGGTAGTAGGTTGGTAGACAGCAACCACCCAGGGAAGTACTACCGTCCTGCCAGATGACTGTGAAACAAAAACCTGTAACTGTTTTGCATGATGGTAGGATTGCTGGTTTCTTTTTCTGTCTCATAAACACGCTAAGATAACAGGGATATCTTGCTACTCCTACTTACACTTTGGTCACACTTCACAGACACGCACATGCATATATATATATACATACATCTAGGTTTTTCTCCTTTTTCTAAATAGCTCTTGTTCTTTTTTATTTCTTCTATTGTCCATGGGGAAGTGGAAAAGAATCTTTCCTCCGTAAGCCATGCGTGTCGTATGAGGCGACTAAAATGCCGGGAGCAATGGGCTAGTAACCCCTTTCCCCTGTATACAATTACTAAAAAAGAGAAAAAAACTTTATAAAACTGGGTTGCTTAAATGTGCGTGGATGCAGTGCGGATGACAAGAAACAGATGATTGCTGATGTTATGAATGAAAGAAGTTTGGATGTCCTGGCCCTAAGCGAAACAAAGCTAAAGGGGGGTAGGAGAGTTTCAGTGGGGGGAAATAAATGGGTTTTAAATCTGGAGTATCTGAGAGAGTTAGAGAAAGGAAGGGTAGCAGTAATGTTAAAAATGATCAGTTATGGAAGGAGAAAAGAGAATATGAATGTGTAAATTCAAGAATTTATGTGGATTAAAGAAAAGGGTTTGGGGATGCGAGAGTGGGTCATAATAAGCTTTGTATGCACCTGGAGAAGAGAGGAATGCAGAGGAGAGAGAGAGTTTTTGGGGAGATGTTAAGTGAATGTATAGGAGCCTTTGAACCAAGTGAGAGAGTAATTGTGGTGGGGGATCTGAATGCTAAAGTAGGAGAAACTTTTAGAGGGGGTGTGGTAGGTATTTTTGGGGTGCCAGGTGAAAATTGTAATGGGAGCCCTTTGATTGACTTTGTATAGGAAAGGGGGTTTAGTTATAGTAATACATATTTTAAGAAAAAGAGGATAAAAAAGTATACACGATATGATGTAGGGCGAAATGACAGTTTTTTGTTGGATTATGTATTGGTAGATAAAAGACTGTTGAGTAGACTTCAGGATGTACATGTTTATAGAGGGGCCACAGATATATCAGATCATTTCTAGTTGTAGCTACACTGAGAGTAAAGGTAGAGGGGATACAAGGAGAATAGAAGCATCAGGGAAGAAAAGAGGTGAAGGTTTATAAACAAAAAGAGGAGGCAGTTAGGGTAAGATATAAACAGCTATTGGAGGATAGATGGGCTAATGAGAGCATAGGCAATGGGGTCAAAGAGGTATGGGTAGGTTTAAAAATGTGTGTTAGAGTGTTCAGCAGAAGTTTGTGGTTACGGGAAAAAGTGGGTGCAGGAGGGAAGAGGAGCGATTGGTGGAATGATGATGTAAAGAGAGTAGTAAGGGAGAAAAAGTTAGCATATGAGAAGTTTTTACCAAAGTAGAAGTGATGCAAGGAGGGAAGAGTATATGGAGAAAAAGAGAGAAGTTAAGAGGTGGTGAAGCAATGAAAAAAGAGAGCAAATGAGAGGTGGTGAGATGTTATCAACAAATTTTGTTGAAAATAAGAAAAAGTTTTGGAGTGAGATTAACAAGTTAAGAAAGCCTAGGAACAAATGGATTTGTCATTTAAAAAATAGGAGAGGAGAGTTATTAAAATGGAGAGTTAGAGGTTTTGGGGAAAGATGGAAGGAAATTTTGAGGAATTGTTAAATGTTGATGAAGAAGGGAAGCTGTGATTTCGTGTATAGGGCAAGGAGGAATAACATCTTGTAGGAGTGGGGAAAGAGCCAGTTGTGAGTGTGGGGAAGTTCGTGAGGCAGTGGGGTTAAAATGAAAGGGGTAAGGCACCCGGGATTGAGGGGATAAAGATAGAAATGTTAAAAGTAGGGGGGATATAGTTTTGGAGTGGTTGGTGCAATTATTTAATAAATGTTTGGAAGGGGTAAGGTACCTAGGGATTGGCAGAGAGCATGCATAGTTCCTTTGTATAAAGGCAAAGGGGATAAAAGAGAGTGCAAAAATTATAGGGGGATAGTCTGTTGAGTGTCCCTGGTAAAGTGTAGGGTTTAGAGTTATAATTGAAAGAATTAAGGAAAGACGGAGATTAAGGATAGCAGTGAACAAGGAGGCTTTAGGAAAGGTAGGGGGTTGTGGACCGGTGTTTACAGTGAAAAAATTAAGTGAACAGTATTTAGAAAAGGGCAAAAGAGGTCTTTGTGGCATTTATGGATTTGGAAAAGGCGTATGACAGGGTGGATGGGGGGGCAATGGGGGCAGATGTTGCAAGTGTATGGTGTAGGAGGTAGGTTACTAAAAAGCAGTGAAGAGTTTTTATGAGGATAGTGAGGCTCAAGTTAGAGTATGTAGAAAAGAGGGAAATTTTTTCCAGTAAAAGTAGGCCTTAAAACCAAGGATGTGTGATGTCACGTGGTTGTTTAATATTTTTAAAGGGATGGGGTTGTAAGAGAAGTAAATGCGAGGGTCTTGGCAAGAGGCGTGGAGTTAAAGATAAAGAATCACACACAAAGTGGGAGTTGTCACAGCTGCCTTTGCTGATGACACTGTGCTCTTGGGAGATTCTGAAGAGAAGTTGCAGAGATTGGTGGATGAATTTGGTAGGGTGTGAAAAAGAAGAAAATTAAAGGTGAATACGGAAAGAGTAAGGTTATGAGGATAACAAAAAGATTAGGTGATGAAAGATTGAATATCAGATTGGAGGGAGAGAGTATGGAGGAGGTGAACGTATTCAGATATTTGGGAGTGGACGTGTCAGCGGATGGGTCTATGAAAGATGAGGGAATCATAGAATTGATGAGGGAAAAAGAGTGAGGGGGTTGCACTTAGGAGTCTGTGGAGACAAAGAACTTTGTCCTTGGAGGCAAAGAGGGGAATGTATGAGGTATAGTTTTACCAACGCTCTTATATGGGTGTGAAGCGTGGGTGATGAATTTTGCAGCGAGGAGAAGGCTGGAGGCAGTGGATGTCATGTCTGAGGGCAATGTGTGGTGTGAATATATGCAGAAAATTTCGTAGTTTGGAAGTTAGGAGGAGGTGCGGATTACCAAAACTGTTGTCCAGGGGTGAGGAAGGGTTGTTGAGGTGGTTCGGACATGTAGAGAGAATGGAGCAAAAACAGAATGACTTCAAGAGTGTATCAGTCTGTAGTGGAAGGAAGGCGGGGTAGGGGTGGCCCAGGAAGGGTTGGAGGGAGGGGGTAAAGGAGGTTTTGTGTTTCGAGGGGCTTGGACTTCCAGCAGGCATGCGTGAGCGTGTTTGATAGGAGTGAAATGGAGACAAATGGTTTTTAATACTTGACGTGCTGTTGGAGTGTGAGCAAAGTAACATTTATGAAGGGGGTTCAGGGAAACCGGGAGGCCGGACTTGAGTCCTGGAGATGGGAAAATACAGTGCCTGCACTCTGAAGGAGGGGTGTTAATGTTGCAGTTTAAAAACTGTAGTGTAAAGCACCTTCTGGCAAGACAGTGATGGAGTGAATGATGGTGAAAGTTTTTCTTTTTCGGGCCCCCTGCCTTGGTGGGAATCGGCCGGTGTGATAAAAAAAAAAAAAAAAAAAAAAAAAAAAAATAATTTTTTTTTTATCACACCGGCCGATTCCCCCCAAGGCAGGGTGGCCCGAAAAAGAAAAAACTTTCACCATCATTCACTCCATCACTGTCTTGCCAGAAGGGTGCTTTTCACTACAGTTTTTAAACTGCAACTTTAACACCCCTCCCTTTAGAGTTTCAGGCACTGTAAATTCCCATCTCCAGGACTCAAGTCCGGCCTGCGGTTTCCCTGAATCCCTTCTAAATGTTACTTTGCTCACACTCCAACAGCACGTCAAGTATTTAAAAAAACCCTTTGTCTCCATTCACTCCCATCAAACACGCTCACGATGCCTGCTGGAAGTCCAAGCCCCCCGCACACAAAAAACCTCCTTTACCCCCCCCCTCCAACCCTTCCTAGGCCGACCCCTACCCCCCCTTCCTTCCACTACAGACTGATACACTCTTGAAGTCATTCTGTTTCGCTCCATTCTTTCTACATGTCCGAACCACCTCAAAACCCTTCCTCAGCCCCCTGGACAACAGTTTTGGTAATCCCGCACCTCCTCCTACTTCCAAACTACGAATTCTCTGGGATTATATTCACACCACACATTGCCCTCAGACATGACATCTCCACTGCCTCCAGCCTTCTCCTCGCTGCAACATTCATCACCCCGCTTCACACCCATATAAGAGCGTTGGT